AGCTGATTTTCTAACCGACTCTTACAGTGATATCCGTACAGAGTTGTGAACATTCTTGAACTTGGCAGTGATAGTCTTCTGCTTCTCTGTCCTTATCTCTTGCAGAACAATTGCAAATTCACGGTTGCCCAGTGAGGGCCTTTGCTTGTAATCACAATGGTTCATTTATTTAGGTGTAGTGTTACTTAGAGCTGGTTCCAACTGAACACAAAGAGGGTTATTTCCTGGACTATATCTGAAATGAATCAAATGCACAGAAATGAAACTCATATTAGGCAAATCCTGCCCTCAGTTTCTTTTGGAATTCCCATAAGGATTTTCTGTCAAGATGACCTTGACTTCTTGACATAAACTCCTTCCTCAATTCAGGGCAAGGAGGAAGTACGAAAAGAAAAGAGAAAGACTGTTAAAACGAAAAACTTAGCAGTTAGCCCATGATCTGTCCAAAATACTGCCTGGCACAGAATTCCATCATGTAAAGGCTTGCTCAGATGAAATTTTATCTGTTAAGTCACTAAATTCAAGGCTTAACAAGGTTGTAATGTCCAGATTGAAATGCAGACTTTTTGTTACTTAGTTTCAAGCAGTTTTAAAGAAAATGTATTATCTTCAAGTAGAATGACTGTTGTTCTCTGCTCCTTCAAAGGCAGCACACCAAAGGGTGGGACAGCTGCATGAACTGTGTGTTCTCTAAACCTTCTCTTTTCTTCGTCTGTTTCTCTGCACAGGGCATTTTGTGTAATAGAATGGGTGAGGTTATACAGCTGTGTTGTTCCTGAGGCTTTTTGCTGAAGAGATAGGGCTGCCATCAGTTTTATAAAAAGTAGTCTGTCCACAGTGAGCTTTGTCCCCTTGAGGGCCTAGTGCCTGAACTTGTGTTCTTAAAAGTGTTTGTAAAGCTGAGAACAGTTTCTCACTGGTGCAACTTTGTGTCTGTACAGGTCCTACTGCCCTTCTGGCACATGGGATAGGGTTTGGAAGCAAAGTCACAACACATCCGTTGGCCAAAGATAAAATGATGAATGGAGGTATGTAATGACTTTTTAACAAGTTTCTCTCTAAACCCTTCTCAGATTTTTTTTTTAATATCTGAACCCTTGATTTAAAGAAAGGAATATAGCTTTTGTATTTTATTTTGTATCTCTGAATTTTCTTAATGCTTTCCTGAATGCAATCAAAATTCAACTGAATGTGCTAAGACCTTATTTCTAAGTCCGTTTAACCTGAAAGTACAGGGCTGTATTAACATTCTCATCCTTGGGGAAAGTACACTGCTGCTGTCATGCTAGGAGCATTTTTCCCCTTATCCTCTTGAGGCTGAGCCATCTCTTGCCCTTTTGGTGCTTTCCCTCAGTGGCCCCAAGAGCAAACCCAGCAGCACCTTTCCTGCTCTCCCATGAGTGGTGCTTTGGGGCTATGAGCAGCTGATGGGTCCACGCTTCCTTCTCATACTTAAAGGAAGGGGCGGTGAAGCACTATTTAGAAGTAGTTCTGTGAACATTAATGAGTCTGAAGGTGAGCAGGAGCTGGCAGGGTTCCTCCAGTTTCCTCTGCGTGCATTTGGAAAAAAGAAAGTTGTGAACAGCTACACAAAAGCAGTCTGACTTCCAAAAGTAACCACACGGGAACTGACAGGCACAGCAAGCACTTCTTGATGAGCTTGTAGTATCAGAGGTGCATTCCCGTACCATGGGAATAAGCTGCTCCCAGCAGGCCCTTTTCCTCCCTGAGGACTGCCGGCAGTGATGAGCTGCCTGGTTCCAGAGGGGCAGGGGTACAGAACCCAAGGCAGGCTGGGCCCACACCAGGGGCTGAGGTGCCTCATGCGCAGCATGGTGTGTTGGCGGGACACTGCTGCTCCTCAGCTGCGGGAGCCTGCAGGCAACAGTGCCTTGCGTCAGCTGTGGGCACTGTGCTGGAGACTGAACTTTCTGTTGTGTGTCCCCCCCAAGCACACTACTCCTACTCCGAGAGCCGCGTGGAGAAAGATGGGAACATCCTCACCAGCCGTGGCCCTGGTACCAGCTTTGAATTTGGGTTGGCCATTGTTGAAACGCTGATGGGGAAGGAAGTGGCTGAACAGGTGAAGGCGCCCCTAATACTGAAAGAGTGAAACCCTGGTGTGGGACAGGGAGCAGGACAATTTTGGATGGAGAGTCTTGCCCTTTGTAGAATAACTTTAAGATGCACTGTTGTAAATACAATTTAATTGTGGGTGAAATTAGCAACTGTACTTAACTAAACTGGGGTACCCTGACAAACCAATGGTCTTTATTTGCGAAAAAAGATCCTGTTAGCAAAAAGCTTCATCACAAAAAAGCAGGCAGTATCTAATAATCTTAGTTAGCTCTTGGATGGCATTTAAAAAATCACATGAAAAATGTTTGCTGAGTAAATAAAAATGAAGCAACTCTGCTTGTGTGTTGTTTCTTTGTGTGTTTTCTCCGCATCCTGACCTATGAAACCTTTTTACCACTATGGCTAGCCAATACAGTATTCAAAACAACTTGTCTAGAGTCTCACACAGTTCTTGTGAAGAACGAGCTGAAATGAGAAGGTGCTCGAGCACTGGAAGAAGCTCCCTAGGGAAGTAGTCATGGCCTCAAGCCTGTCAATGTTCGACAATCGCTTGGACAATGCTCTTAGACACGTGGTTTAGCTTCTAGGTTGCCCTGTGCAGGGTCAGGAGTTGGACTTGATGACCCTCATGGGTCTCTTCCAACTCAGGATATTCTATGATTCTATGACATAGATTATTAAGTTATAACTTAGAATTTGTTAAAACAACATTTAGTTTCCTGTGTACAGATAAGGACAATAACTAGTATTAATTCTAAGACATCATGGAACTAAATTAAAAGTGGGAATATTCTTATCTTGTCAAGCACCATAGAGTTCCTACAGCTAGCAGGTTGTCCATGATACTATTGGAATTTGTCTTCTACATTAATGATTGCAGATCCTTTGAGCTATTTAGACAGCTAATAATCAGCATAAAGCAAGAAGTTTGGACTTGCAGCTTACCACCAGTACCAGTGCTTGTTTCTGTTTACTGTAAATCAGAACTTGCTGCAAGCTTGGCTTAAGTGAGCATATGTCAGTTTAGAGGAGTTGCTGGACAGGTGTCTGGAGGAAGTGGGGGAGCTGTATCCCCGTGAGAATTAAGAAATTTGGGATCAATTTTTGTCTTTGCTACCTTTCTTTTAACAAATAACTGCTGTTATCTGGCTCTGTCAGCAGTCACGCTGACAAGATGGCATCTCACTGGACTCTGAAGTTACCATGGCATCTGGAGGCCTGGTTCTTCATACATTTGAAGTGTACAGTCTGAACTTTAGAAAATGACTGCATAGGTGCCTTTATGATTATTTTAATGGTAAACAAGTTAATTCTCAATTACTGCATTTTGGTAATGAAATACATAAGTACTTTTGCGAATTTAGAATTAAGAAATGTGTCTATGTTGTTAGTATCTACTGGAAGAACTGCTTTAGCTGTATGCTCTGTGTCTAATTTGTTTAGAAAAATCTTTCATATGTTTCTCCAGCTTTGAAATATGCTCAAGATATGCAAAAGTTGTAATCTATGTAAGATTGGACATGTTTGTTCATTAAATCAACACGTCTAACTGGTATTGCCATGCAAATGTAAACCAAATGATGGAAAGATCCTTTGTCCTAGAATCTGGAATAATCGCTTGGTTTGTAAACAGGCATGATTCAGAATACAGGAAAAGCTATGCATTCCTGGGCTGTAGTGCTGCTTTATAGCATGAGAAGGAAAATAATTCCATGTTTGTGTTACATTTAAGCTTCCAGAAATGTTTTAATGTAAGACATTAATGAAGTGGCCAGAAATTTATTTATACATTTTTATTCTTTATTCTAAGGCTGAGAGAGTTCAATATACAGAAATGAGGTTTGCAATGTGTGCATTTGGGCTTTCCCACTCCTATTAAAGCAGTAATAGGAAAAGCACTCAGTAAAATGAGCTTAGAGCCCATTAATGTATCTGGTTAACTTGCAGATTCTTTCACTGTGTTCAGTAAAAAGGACTTGGTTAATGAAATGTGGCAATGCTGCTTGCATCACTGTTTCCTTCAGAAAGCTGACCCTGTTCTCAACCTTTTACATTGCAGATGTCCAGCAAACCTGAATTTACATGGATTCTCTGTTTTTGCCAAGGTGTCATTAACTCAGTCTTTAAGTTAGGGGAGGTATATGAACTAAGATAAGGCTAATTTTCCTCTTATGTGAAGTGTTAAGAAGGAATTGGCTGATTTGAGAAAAAAAAAAGCCTTCCAATTTTTGAAATGCTTTTTTCCTCCATTTCATACAGACATTCCCTAGCTGTTACATATCTCTTTTCCTAAAATCCCCTCTCACCTCCTGCGAAAGATAAGTTGAGATGAAGTGCTTTTCTGCTCTGGTTCATGAACACTAGACACTTTGTGCCTTTGTATTATTGGCAAGCTTTAGTTTAGAGCCTCTCGTAATTGGGTATTTGCTGCTACAGAACTTGTCTTAAAATGTAGAGAGTGCATCCACTCTTCTCTAGCTAGCATTTACCATTTTGTTACCTGACAGTTGGAGGATTTGGGGGATTGTTTGTTGCTGCCGGGCTGTCGGGGCGCGG